TCTCTCTCTCTCTCTCGCTCTCTCTCCCCCCTCTGTCTCTCCCTCTCTCTCCCTCACTCACACACACACACATGCACACACACATACACACACATACACCCACACTTATTCACTACTGTATCACAAAAACACACCCACACACCAACACACTTTCACAACAGACAGGCCAACACCTCTCGTGTATTACAATTCCCTGACCAGACAGAAGACAGCGCGCCGTATCCAAATGTCACCACTTACTCCTCAACTCCCGCTGAACATCCGGACTGTGAAAGCATCTGAAATGGATAATTGAATATGCTCATATTTAGGTTTCATGGATAACTGAAGCAATGAAAAAAGTGCGTCCTATTGCGTTTTGAAAGCGAGCGAAAAATATGATAGAATCTCTAGTGTACATCAAATATATAGGCCTAAACATAATTAGATCTAATTATGATCTTTTCTACATGTCTGCTTTGACAAATATAAAAGATATCTGCTGGCAACGCGAAAAGAATCACGAAGGACATTTTTATTACAGTGCAATGCAAATGGAAGACGTCGACAATACAATAAATAAACCTTTCTTAGAGGCCCGAGCCGAAACTCAAAGGTAATAAGTTTACTCAGTACTGTAAGGAATGGTAGAGTCGGTAGAGTTGTTTTAATTTAAAAAACCCAAGCCCAAAGTGTTTGTTTTTTCCCCATCGAAAGAGACATATATTGGCTCCTTCATTGGCTAGCCCGAGATACAGTAGTAGGAATATCGAGCGGGTATGGACGTGGAAGGATTCAACATTACTTTTTGGGGGGCGCAGATTGAACCAGGGCCTTGTGTCCTAAATTAATGCATTACAGTATATTTCAACGTGAGTATTGGCGTCAATATATGTCTATAAAATCATTAATTCCTCATGGCACATAACTAAAAAATATATATATTGACGTCTTCGGTGAACGGCACAAATATAACGAGTGACCATGCGTAGTTGTAATTTCATAAGTGAGAGGAAAGGAAATGACAAAAATTTTATACACTACCTGCTACTTGTGATTCACAAAATGTAAAAGTCTACTTCAGCCCCCGGCTCAGAACTTACCTGACCTACTTAGCACACCCGGGATCTCCTCTCGTCCTGAGGCCAAAAGAGGGGTAGTTATGATGGTACGTGCTTTTGTTAGTTTTAGTAAGGTTTTTTTTTTTTTTACGGCGCTCGCAACTGCATACGGTCATATGAGCGCCAAGGGGTGGATGTCAACAGAGAAGTCTTTACAAAATCAGACTTACTCTGCTCACCTCTCTAGCCTCAACAGCACAAAGTCTGCATGGACTATCAAGGCACTGTGGTTATACGTAAGACGAACTTAACTTATACATAATTTGTATCGAAGGACTGGGGACTGAAGTAGAACTCTACCATTGATAACTGACTGGGATGACAATGACAGCATTAACTTTATCACCGTACACAGAATACTGTGAAGTCAATATCACCACACGTGATTCAACTTTAAAAAAAGAAACCTGAACTTTAAGAATATTAGAAAATCTAATAGGCCCTACCAATCGCTTTCAGCTATAACTTTAATATAACATCTAGTAGCCACCCCATCCCTTTTTTCACACACATCTACATACACAGGACAGGAAAAAGAAACATATTTGATTATATCTTCCGAACTTTTATAAGACACTGATAAAATTTAATATCGTCCGCCAGCAGTTCAAATGTCCTACCCCCCCTTTCCCTCCCACGCAAAAAAAGTAATGCAACTCTTAATCTGTGGCATCGATTTCGTGTGCTCACGAAATACTCACAATTTTATCAAAATTAAAATTCTAAATGTTGAAAAAACAAGAAAAGATAGATTCTACGTAACGTATTTTCAAAAGAATGAAACAGTTTTTAAAAATCTCTCCCGAAAATGTTTGCTTTCTGGGCTGAGAATATATTTGAACAGATTATCTACGATATGTATTATAAACTAGATCTACGCTTACATTACTTACCTAGACCGGAGCCCAGTTAAAACAAACAAAACAACCAACAAACAAACTTGGTGATCATAAAACATTTCCGTTGGTGACG